TAGAATAATCTTCTTTTGTCTCCTATTCGAGGCGATAAGTAAATTTCTGGCCAATCCAATACGATAAGACTCATCATACGAGACAAACGATGAAATTTTGAACGTCTTAATAAATAAACAAGAGGGAATCCTCAATAGCCGCGGCACCTGAATTTTCTTTAAAGCAGGATTAGAGTAAATTAATTTGTGAGACCTTTGTTTCCCTTTTTATTAGCTATATTTTTGTGCGCCAGCAATACCAAGGGTGGGGCGAGCGTATACCTGAATCGATTTTATTACTCATCAGGATCTCTACCAGCTTAGTCTCAAATTGAAATTCTCTTAGGCAGGATTAGAGTAAATTAATCTGTAAGATTTCAGGCGTGGCCAAATATATCACTCCAAAGGGTCTGACCTCCTCAGTCCAAAATTGCAATTAGATCTCAAATCGGTCAAGAGATGACGGAGCCATGAGCTGAAAGTTTGTAAAAAAAACAAATAAACTCAGAGCCATTCTATGAGCCGCGGCTAAAAAGTATTTATTAAGGTAAATATAAATTGTTTAAAATTTCCTTTATTTTACAAATTCATACAAGCGAACAATTGACTTAAATACAGTTAGAGATAAAATATACTCTAAGCTAAACTGAAACCAATTATTCTGTATTCTTCAGACCTAGTAGTGATTAAAATTATTTGCGTAAGTAAAACAAGTCATATTATAAAGCATTGTAGAAACACTTTGTAATACATTCCATGTTATTACAAAAAGAAGAAAACAATAGTGAATATACACGAAACATTATCAAACATCTTTGTTTTAACTCACTTTTTATATAGACTAATCTATTTAAACACACGTTAGTAAACACATATTTGTTAGAACCTACAACACTATGGTTTACAACACTTCAGCATTTAGGATATTAATGGGAATGGATAACATTTTGTGGAACTAGGCCATATGTCAAGGTCTTATCGGTAGATGTAATCCATATGTCAAGGTCTTATCGGTAGATGTAATCCATATGTCAAGGTCTTATCGGTAGATGTAATCCTTATGTCAAGGTCTTATCGGTAGATGTAATCCATATGTCAAGGTCTTATCGGTAGATGTAATCCATATGTCACGGTCTTATCGGTAGATGTAATCCATATATCAAGGTCTTATCGGTAGATGTAATCCGTATGTCAAGGTCTTATCAGTAGATGTAATCAAAATAGAAAAAATCAACAAGTGCATGGAGCTGAGTCTATAACTAGTGTACTTTTAATCTGATTGGCATGGCAACTTTACACGTGGTCAAAGGTCGAAATCAAAATAAAGGTCTCCATATTTACATCGCAAGAACAAACAATTGTTGGTATCTAAGTTTAAGATTAAAGGAAGAAAATCGTTTGTGTTTAACTTTTGAGTATGATATACAGGAACTCTTCCATAACATCGTTAATTCACGTGATATAGAAACTTTTAACTTTATAGTTCTTCGAAGAAGCATTATAGACTCCCAATGTTTGTAGACTGGTCTTGAGGATCAGGTAGAAGATGGATTGTTCAACTCCGGATGTACGTCATACAGACAGGGCTCTGAAAAAAGTACAAAAATTGTAATTTTACATCGAAAACTTGGGGGATCTGCATTTAATCTCTTAAAATACAGTTTATATTACATAAATATCATGATTTTTCGAATAAGTTCCTTTTCGGGGTAATTGTTTTTACAAATTAAAAAAGAAAGAGTTTAATAACCCAACAAATGTTATGATGAAGATGATGAATTATAGAATTTTTTTTACTGTACCTACGAGTTTAAAAATAAGATTTGAGATAAAGATGATATGAAACAAAGAATTTCCTGATCATTCTTTCAGAAGACAAATTCTAAACATTTATTTTCTATTCTTCAGGTGATCAACTTAAAGTATTTATTCAACGAACCCAAAAGACTAGTAAAGAGTAATGCGAGTTATATTTTGACATAAGTCAGTATTGTGTTCAGCAAATTTGAGCGACTTCAAAAAGTTTGGAAAACGTTAACGTTTCAATTGTGTGGGAAGAGGTTGGAAAACGGGCTACAAGATCACTATAGGCGTTATGAAATATATATGTAACAAATATGATGCACTGAATTAACCTGCGTTGATATATAGAAAGTAAATGCTAGTTATCATTATTTCTTCAAGGAGCAGAGCCTATTTCAGTAGACCGAATGTTAGAGAATATTAAATTATTACGCAATCCGTGTCATTGTAAGTACTAAGAACACATGATGCTTATTATCATTAGGTAGACAGTGCACAACTTTTCGGATGTAAATAGCTTGAAAGCACGTGGGCTCGCGGGTGCGCTTTACGTTTTGTTATACCCTCGTAAAACCAAACATTCTATAAAGGATTAATGAAAAAAAATCTGAACCCCTAGGTACTGTGTTTATAAGAGAAGTAAAACCGAAACTACCCACTTTCCTCATATTCAAAAGATTGTTCTACCGGAAATGATCGCGTGGCTCTGTCATCGCCTGTTATTCTGTCCTTGCACTCGGGTCCTAAACCTAAGAGCCTGTTCTGCTGCTCCACTCGACAACATTTGATGGGCTGTAATTACATAAAAGCTTGTCTCATAGGCTGGGATTTATTACTCCATAAAGCGGGGATAGAAAACGGTAGTCACACGTGTTCAAACTTAGATTCGCGCTAACATTACACTCTTCCGGTAGATATAGAGCCGAATAAGTGTTTTTCGAAATGCAGGTGTGCTGCACACCTTTTTGTAAAATAATAATTTCGACAATAGCCAATAAAAATATCATGTGGTATTATGTTAATGAGAAATAGATGCATACTTTTCTCTGTGATCATTTACTAGGTTAAAGAATTGTGTTTCATGAAATTTTATTTTGTTAGCTATGTGAAGTGCTTAAAATAATTAGAACCTTTGAATGCATGTTATAGTTTACAAATTAAGATCGTTTGGATGTTGTAAAGAAAGTCTTTTATCATGTTTAATGAATAAAATGGCGAACTTTATAAAATATCAGTAACAGGGTCATGATATCAAATGACAAGAATAAATATCATGCAAACAATAGGAAATAGGAAGACATGTATAATATTATGAAATCAAGTTAAGCATTGCTAAAACATTACAATTGTATCTAGAACCATTTAGAACACTCCCTCTTCCAGATAAACAAGAACCAAAAACAAAACATATTTATATATATATTACAAATTAAATTAGAACTGAAATGAAAGAAGATGACACAGATTCGTTTGTCTGGATGATGGATTTATGTACTCGATTCATGAAAATAAAGAGATCAAAAGACAATATGAATAATTTTAATCTATAAAGTAATATTCATTCTAGTTTTCAACGAGTTTTTATTTGTTGTCCAGTGGTGAGTGTTAGTTGAAATAAATATAAATCCCAAGTGGGATGTTTAAGGATTATATTTGGCCTAATCAGAAACATTAGTAGTTTAATAATTTATGCTATCCTTTCTAAAAGCTTGGAACTTACATAATCTTACTTACTAAACGTCAAATTATTTCTTCAGTCATGACAATTACAAGTCAATAGCGCATAAAAAAGGCATCAATGAACGATTAGGTACCCCAGTGGGCCAGTGGTAAATTTACGGATTTTCAAAGCTAAAATCATGAGTTCGATTCAGCAAAGACAGCCTATTGTGTAGCTTCACGCCAAAACACACAAACCGACAAGTAGTAACTAAAATGTTACAGTTGATAAAAAGTTTTATGGACAGCCTTTTGTGATCCAGACTTTACAGACAAATCTTTATCATCTAACAAGAGATAAATTAACATAAGGATTATCCATCATCCCTCTCATTCAAGCTGCAGACTGCTCATAAAACTCTTCAATGCAATTTACTAACTCTTTATAAAGAAACTAAATCATCTTAAAATCATTCAATAAAATGGACTATTTAATAAGTATTTTTTAATGGAGCAGTTTTTGCTGAATACTTGAAGTAAATTTTACTTCAAAGTCTTCCAAGCTTATTAAAATTATATTATTTGTTTTCATTGGTAAGTATAAGAGGTTTGGATGTTCCCGAAGTTGTACATTTATTTCTCTTCTTAACGAGGCGTCGAAAATGCTACTCAAAATGGTTTACTATCATCTTAATAGCACATAAAACCTCTGAAGAAAGAAAAGGATTGTCATTTTAATAGCAACCACATAAAACCTCTGAAGAAGGAAAAGGATTGTCATCTTAATAGCAACCACATAAAACCTCTGAAGAAGGAAAAGGATTGTCATCTTAATAGCAACTACATAAAACCTCTGAAGAAGGAAAAGGATTGTCATCTTAATAGCACCCACATAAAACCTCTGAAGAAGGAAAAGGATTGTCATCTTAATAGCAACCACATAAAACCTCTGAAGAAGGAAAAGGAAGATCTATCTTCGAAAGCTCTTGGTTTATCAGGTTTCTTATTTTTTGGTTCGTCTAATTTTGGATCCTGCGTAACTTCTCAGTACAATGAAATTATTTAGCACTAGATAATTTTCATAAAATAAACGTAATCCCACTTTCTGTGAATATGTTTCTAATTGTTATACACTTGGCGTATAAACACAATGTACTTAGTAAATAATGTATTTTTATAGTTTTTATCGTTGTCAGATTCCTTCTTTTTTCAGCAATGGATTTCTTTGAAATCTCAAGAACTTTCATTTACTTTACTGTACTTTTTATCTTTCATTCTACAAGATATATAGCTTTATGGGAATCAATGACAGATATAATCATTATTTAATATCATGTACTATTGTTGTTGAAGCACAACATCTTTCGTCTCTAGGAACACGCACTTGTAAGTAAATAAGTAAAAATATGTATATATTTCTATATCTACGTCTTGTTTCAAATCACTGATCTTTCGTCTCTAGGAACACGCACTTGTAAGTAAATAAGTAAAAATATGTATATATTTCTATATCTACGTCTTGTTTCAAATCACTGATCTTTCGTTTACTTACCTTTCAGGCAGCTGTTCCTAAGAAGAGTATTTTGTCAAAGAAGAGTTGGTCCGTTTGATATGCATAAAAACGAGGCAATAGAATAGTCAAAGGTGGATGGAAGCTTTGCCCTGTCTCTGGAAATATAGTTCCCGAAACCAGATTGACAGAACACAATAGAAAACCGTCCCATGTTTTTCACCATTGCAACTCAAAAAACCATAGTATATCTA